AGGCATCACAGGGTGGAGGGACATCAGGAAGGGGACCTTCCCAAGGGCATGGAAAGCAAGCTGTGATGCTACACCGATTGTGCCTGAGCTAGTCCAGAACTGGGACTTGGAAATGAGGGGGCTTGGCTGGGGGCATTGGCTGGCTCTAGGGAGAGGTCATCAGAGAAGAGTTCCTGCTGGACAAAGACATCCAAACAAGTCCCAAAGAGTTGGAAGGGCTAAGGCTGGAGGAGCAGAGATAGAAGTCACAGCAGAGAGCTTAAAAAAGAACCAGAGGCAAGAGAGGAAAGATTTATCACCAAAACATCCTCCTTTTGGTGGAATGGGGGGGTTGCAGACTGGTGCGCAGACATGGAAATGGGAGGTTTCAGGGAAGCTCAAGATGAGAGGACCCGACCCTGTGGGGATTTCCCGGGGCACACAGTGTGGGCTGGAAGAGGATGCTTTGACATGCTTTTGACATGCTAATGAGTGCCTGGATCTGGGAGGGTGGGGATGGCATGAAGGGTGGCAGAGGGCCTCTGAGGAGGTGGTGGGCTGATGCTGGGCTGAGGGAGGGGCTCTGAGTTAGGGGCTGGGCTCCAGGATAGAGAGTGCTCCCCTGGGGAGTCTCCACACAGACTCTGCTCCACGATGAGCAGGGTTCAGATGAGAAACAAAGGTGGAGAGCAGAGGGCGCTAGGGTTTCTGCAGCTTCCCAGGTGGGACAGGAGCCATAGGTTGGATTGATCTGGGCCCCTCTGATAAGGAAAGAATAGCCAAGCAGGGATCAGTCACTCTCGGTGCGCATTTTGCCTGCATGCCCACACGGGGTAATGACACTCCTGGCTGCACACACACGCCCCTGCTGCCCCACACTATGACAGTGACACATATGCCAGTCCACAGACACACTTATACCTGTACCTTTATCACTGATCATGGCACAACACTGTACCAATTCACACCGATGGTAAGACCCTACCACCTGGGGCATCGTTGGTTAACAGCAACACATAGATACACATTATTACACAGATACGGTGACATGGCCCAAGAGCCTTTGTGTGTTAAACAGTCTATGTAAATGGTGCCCTCTGTGGTTGTACAGTGCACAACCTACACAGCTGTATGTGGTACCCTTTCCTTACACCCAAACCCTTGCACAATGTCTTTGACATATTCTGCTCTAACAACAACCCGCTTAGCTCAACGCCATCACATGGCAACTCACACTTGTGTCACTCCACATCCAGAGGGATACACCACACCTCCCCTACCGCACACTGATGATGGCACACATCCCCTATGTGACTCCGCTGCCACACTTCCACCTGCACGGCCCCACACGAGTGGGCACTCAAATGCACCATTGCACAGCAATGGGTTTGCCTTCCGATCATGTCATTCCATGTTGAAGGAGGCAGACTGGGGCTCTCACATCACACCTGCACAGTGATGGCACTGGCCATTGTCAGTGACAAGAGGGAAGCCACTCTCAGATGAGCAAGGTGGCCTGGAGCCCCTCTCTGAGCACCACCCCCACAGTTCTGATTCTGCCTCTGGCACATGTCCAATCTTTCAAACCAAGGCCAACCCTGTCCCTCCAGGCTCAAGGCAGAATGGCAGGATGTGGAGCCAGAGTCTGGAGCATCTGAATGTCTCCCTGCACCCACCGGCACAGCTCTGGCTAGGGCAAGGTCGGGACCAGCCAGCATCCTCCAGATCAGAGCAGGTGCCTGGTGCTCCCCAGACACCTCCTCATCTCCCGCAGGGCACCCAGGCTGCCCCCCGGACTGAGGCAGCTGCAGGGAAGAGTGGGCTGACCTTTGGATGGGTGCCCTGTGCCAGCTATTCTCACTGACAGCCACCCTTGTGGCCTGTGACAGCTGTCATTCCTCACGCATTTCTCCTCTATCCTCACACGAAGTGCTCACGTTAGCTCTCTTGACTGGCTTCCTAGTGAACATCCAAGGCACGCACATACCATTTTATGGATCTGTTCAAATCTGGCCCCTTCTCCTGCCCCCAGGGCTCAAAAATAAAAGGGGGAATTCAGCACCAGCCAGGATAAGACACCTGAAGCAGAGCCACATCCATATCGATATTTTACCAGGTGACTCTCAGAAGCTGTGTGCAGAGCAGGCCGTGCCAGGACTGAGGCCGGGCCTGTCTGCACTTGGGCTGGATTAGAGATGAGGAGGTGAAGGGGGCGCTGGCAAACCACAGGCACGAGGACCCCGGTCTGGGTGCGAATTCATGGCGGGTTTCTTCTTCTTCTTTTTTTTTCTCAGTGAGAAACTGGAGAACAGGGAACACTATAAATGTCAATGTAAAAAAATATCTGCAGAGCAAAAGTTACATTTCCATAGGATGTGGGATGTGTCAGGGGAGAAGCAGCCCCGTGTGGCGGAAGGACCGTGGAGCTCAGTGTCAGACAGGCCTGCACTGGAGCCCGGGCTCTGCCAAACACTCACTTTATCTCCCTGGGCCTCAGTTTCCCATCTTGAAAACAGAGGTTTGTGTAAATTAAATGAGAAAATACAAATTATATAACGCACCAAAGTTAGCACCTGAGACGTAATGAAAGCTCGGGTAGGTGCTACAATTAGTAGTATTGTAATCATTAGGAAATGCTTACATTTAGCAACTTTTCTTCAGTAATAGCAGAGTACCTGGGAACCACGTCCAGGCCAGTAACACTGAATAGGGAGCAAGTATTCATCTCTCCACCACCTTTCTTTGATGGAAGCACCAATGGCCAAAGTGGCATGATTTACCCCTAATTGTTCAGCAGGATGAGCCACCAAAACTTGGCTGAGCTGTCTTTCTAGTCACCAGTAAGATTTTTCTGCAGCTAGACATGGTTCGTGTCAGCTCATGCAGTTTTTTATAGACTCACAGAAGCTTGGGTTCAAAGGGGGCTTTAGCTGTCATCTAGACCATCCTCCCGCCCATCTGCCATCTTCCAGGGATGGGCAACCCATGCCTCACATACTGTAGTCCACACTGTGGCTGGACAGCTCCTGTTGTTAGCTGGCTCTTCCTCTTAGAGCTTCTGCCTGCTTCCCTCTACCTTTCCCCCATTGCCCTAATTCTACCTTCAGCAATGGATATTCACCCATTCAACAAGCATTTCCTTAGCACCCACTTTGCTAGGCACCTTACTAAGTACTGGAATTATAAACGAAGCAGACTTGCCAGCCCTTCGAGCGCTAATGCCCCCTTGGTGTTTTCCCCTCCAGGTCAAACATCCTCAAATCTCTCAGCCTTCTCTCATCTGGCCTGATTTCCAGATGCCCACCATCAAACACCCCCTTTTCAAGCTTGGCATATACGAGTTTGTCAAAGCCCAACTTAAAGAGTGGTGCCTAAAACTGAGCCCAGTATTTTCCTGAAGCCAAAGTTGAAATTTTAGCCCAGCTTGGTCAACATCGGTATGAAAAGCAATACCAGTTGTGGACAAACTGTATGGAAAACCCAATTGTAACTAGAGTGCAGCCATTCAGCTCCCATTTACTGAGCATGTTCTTCAAGAACATGAAAAAAGACGGAGAGAGGAGGACTGTAGCTCTTGAAATGACATGATGTCAGATCTCCCTGCCCAGAACTCCCCTCAGGCATTAGTGGCAAGTCTAAGTCACTCTGATCAAACACGCTCCCCCGCCCCCTCCTTTGCTGTCCGCCCTAGGAAAGGAAGAGCAATAAAGAAGGAGCATGCTATGCCGATGGCCCAACACAGCACCAAGCAGGGAACTAAGCCACAAAGGAAGGGCCTTCCTTCTGCAAAGGCCCTCTGGCCTATAAGGGGAGAACAGAGGTGAGCCTCGGAAGGTGACTCTCCAGGTGAGGAGGGTGGTCCACCAATGGCCTCTGACTTGTAGGGGTCCCCAACTTTGAGGATCCTGCTGTGACCATGTGTGAAGGAATGTTCCCCCTTATTAGAACAAAATCATGCCTCCTTCCTTTCCCAGATCCTGTCTCTGCATCTCTTGCTGTTCCCTCCTTGGAAGGAAGCCATCCCCTTACAGAAACAGAAGTCATCTCCACTCTGACATACACTGATTGATGCATAAATCCCTGCAGATCTTTCGAAGGCCTGGTGCAAGGCCCCTCCTCTCTGAAGCCATTTTCCTGCAATTCAAGTTGGATTAAAGGAAGCAGTTGAGAGCCAAAAGATGGCAGGCAGAATAGGGAGGCTCATCAGGAGACAGTAACAGAACAAAAAGTGATTGTGGGGGAGGAAGAAAGCCTGGGGTGGGAGCAGATGTTGCCCTGCCTCTTGGAGGTCCCTTTTCTTCTCTGGGCATAGGAGGGAAAGAAATGGCCTTCTAGAATGAACTTTGCCAGAGCATTCCTATTCTTCAGGAGATACCAGGTCGCGAAGGGATTGGTGAGTGACTCTCCTGAGGTCCACCGGAATTTTGCAGCAGTCTTCTCCTTCTGGGTCCACAGTGAAGGGGCTCCTGACCCCCGATGAGGGCCTGGCCCACATATCCATCAATATTTCTTGAGTGTTCTTGTGTCTGAGCACCATGCTGAAGGGCCGGCTGCAAAGATCTGACCATGATCCAGTCGTGGCACTCGCAGGCAGGAGACAAGCAGACAGATGCAGCAGGGGCCACTGAAACAGGGGTGCGTCTAAGTGGCAGGTGCCCGAGGAATGTGACCATTCTGTCTAAAGAAAACAAGGAGGACTTTCCCAAGAACCCTGCCTCCATCCCCTGCCCCAACCTGTCCTCCAGAGCAGCAAGCCTGTGGTCTTCCAAGCTGTGGCCAGGACTTGGGTGGGAGTGTTTATCTGCGAGGGGGAGGAAGACGGTGAAAGGTGCAGGAGGAAGAGGAGCGGAGAGAGGAAGGAGAGGAAGAGAAGGAGGGAGAATGGGAGAGGGAGACGGAGAAACAGGGAGAGGGAGAGAAGGGCGGGAGAGAGGGAGGGGGAGGGAGAGAAAGGAGGGGGAAGGGAGGGAGGAAGGGGGAGGGAGAGAGAAAGAGAGGGAGAGAGAGATTTTGAATTTCCCATCTGCAAGGGGAGCGGTAGCACGTCAGGGCCTGCCTGAGGGGCGTGATTGGAGGGCGCCTTCGGCAGCCGCCCGCGGCAGAAGCCACTGCCCCAGCTCGCCGCGCGGAGTTGCACGAGGCGGCGGCGGGAGCTGAACTAGCAGGAGGAATCGCCTCGCCGAGTCGGGCCGGAGCCCTGCAGTGGCTCAGACGCTTGCGGGGACCGCCAGGTCGGTGCCGGCCCGGGCCGGGAGGGCGGAGCCGGGCTGTGGGCAACAGGGTCCCGCTCTCGCGTCGAGGCCGCAGGGCAGCCCGGGAAGCTGGGGAGCCCGGTTTTCGGGGAGGCAGGTCCCCAAGCTGCCTGGGCGCCGGAAGGGCGACTGCGCGGCGGCGGGGACCCTGCGGGCGCGCCCGCAGTGGTGCTGAAGGGACAGCTCCGGGCGCGGGGAGCGAGTGGGCGGAGGGAAGGGAGCGCTGCGGGGCGAACTGCGGGGAGGCGAAGCCCGGGGGCCGGGGTTCCCTCGGCGAAAGCTGAAACAGTCTGGCTCCGGAGGAGCCAGGACCGCCCCGGATGCGGCGGGAGACTCAAGTCTGAACCGCAGAACAACTTCGAGCTCGCGGGGTGGGGGTGGTGGCGGGGGCCGGCGATCTAAGCTACTTCTGGCTGGGGTTAACCCCGACCCCGCCGGGCCCCTTCCGCCCCGGAGGCGGGAGCCGCCCCCGAGGGGTACAGTTTGTGCTCCCGGAGTGAGTCAGAGGGCGACGGGAGGGGGGCGGACAGACCGAAGGAGGAGGGGAGGAAAGCCCAAACATCGACGGGGGGGGGGCAAGGGGACTATTTGTCGTCTTCCCCGGAGGAGCCAAGGCTTGGGCAGCGCACGTCCGCCGCCTGGGGTCACGGAGGACCGTCTCTTCCCACTCCCGCTCTCGCCCGCCCCACTCCGCCCCCTCCCCCAGCAAAGTTTGAGACCAGGTTGGGTCTTGGGGTTGGAGCTACGTGTGTTGGGGGGAGGGGAGCGCTCAGTGGCCCACCGGGAGCTCCAGGGCAGAGCTGCGGGGTGTGTTTGTCTCCACGGGGGTCCTGGGTTCCTGCGCTCTTCTGGATTGGGAACTGGAAGGCCCCGCCACTTCCGCTTTTCAGGAAGAGCCGGTTCCCGGCCCCCTCCCATCCTCCCCTCCCCTTCCCCTCACCCCTCCCATCCTCCCCTCCCCGTCCCATCCCCCAGTGCTTCTCCCTTCCAGGGGCGTGGGATGGGGATGGGGTGGGGTGCAGAGTGGCATCCCCTGTCTCTATCACCGCCATTAGCGTAGGGTCGGTCCCCTGCAAAAAGCAAATGAGTGTTGAATTGAGTTGCGGTGAATGTAGCCCAGACTTGCGCCAGAAAAACAGCCACAAGGACACTCCAACACTGCAGGTGCTGGAGTCCGCCTGCCTCCTGGAGCTCAGATGGTTGAGCCTGAGCAGGTGTCTCGGCTGCCTCCGGGCTGGGACGGACTTGGAGGGAGTCGGGGAGGGAAAGCCGAAAATGCGCCCTGGATCCCCAGCACGCGGGCTGCACGGAAACCTGGTGCTGTTACAGCAGCACCCCTCCCCCGCCTCTCTCTGTCTCCCCTCCCCCAGCCCAGCATCCCCCCACCACCCTTCCCGCGCTGGGAGACACCGAGCCTTCCCGCAGTACCGCCGGGGAGCGCCTCCTGGCGGCCGGACCGAAACCCTCAACTGCATGCAACCTGCCAGCCCTCAGCACTCCTACAGGCTACGGCAAAACGTCTTTCACACACCTGCACACACGTTCACACAGACTCTCACAACGTCCAAGCTGAGAGTTAGGCAGGATCAACTTTGAACACGTACACTCTCCTACACTCGCTGATACACTTTAAATTCAATCCAGCGAAGGTCTACCCTGTGCCAGGAGATGCAAAGGATTCTGGAGATAGGGGAAATGAAGAAAAGATGGGCCCTGCCCTGAGAGGAGCTCAAAGTGACCAGGAAGGGAAAGACACATAGACAGAGCATGAGCTGAAGGCAGGCAATACTGTCCTAGAAAGCGCCATGGGTCTCAGAAGAGCAAGATACTATCACAACTTGCCAGGGAGATTAGGGATATCTCAGGGAGGGAGTGATGTTTGAGAGGGATCTTTGAAAATGAATGCTGCTGCCGCTGGTGAGGACAGCTAGAACATCTGTGTCGAGCACGGGGCTGAGCACTTTGTTTGCATGATCTCGTTCAATGCTCACAACTAGCCTTGGGCACGGGGCTTGTTGTCTCCATTTTACACATGTGAAAACATTGAGTCACTTGCTCAAG